GATTTTGGGCATGCACGCATATGTGCCCGGCGTGATTAAGCTATCAGAACCAGGACTTGAACCATGGTTGACTACATGGGAGTCCAGCTACATAACCATTGTGCCATCTGCTGGTCCCAGTGATGCAGTCTTGATGGCAGCTCGATCCTGTACCCATCCATGTTGGACAGGGTCTGATGATGACAGCTCTAACAGTTTCTTTCTGGATATGGGTGGAACATTAAAAAGATATCTAGCAATTTTTAAACCTTGGGGGCGAGGATGACAGAGTTGTTTCTGTGAGAAAGGTAATGGGGAAAATGTAAAAATTGGATAGAGTACATGAAAATTATTTTACTAGTAGAGCTGTAAGCTGCTACACAGTAAGTCATTTTGAGATTTTAGTTTATTGGTGTTTCGTGGAAAGCAGATTAGTGTGCTTAGGGGAAACCAATTTTTAGTTAACGTTGTCTTGGCTTTTGGACTCAGTATATTAAGCAGATACATAAGATACTATTTTGAAGAAAGAAGGGGGAAATTCCTAATCTCATTGAATACAACTTTCGCCCTATGGAACTTTGCTCTAGGATCTTTGTGGTAAGAGGACAGGCTGAATTCTGATTCTTCAACCTCATTCCAGACTTGCTGTAGATACAGCCAAAGCGCTTCTCCCCTTACGTGGCTCTTCTGGGGACGGGCGTCGGCCAGTGGGGTCCGCCCCATTCGTCCTCCACCCATTGTGAGCAGAGTTCTCAGCACCTTCCCTACCCAGGCCTCCGTGGATCCCATCAGGCAGGCCCCTGCCTCTGGAGCCTTCCTGAGCTTATGTCTGAGCCCTGCAGGTGTGGGCTAGCCTTTATCTGCAGGAAGCCCAGGTAAAAAGAAGGTGTTATCCTCTACTTTTCTTTCTTTTAGGTAATAGGACTTTCAGTACTAATATGTTCTAGGTGATAGGTGATAAAAAGCAAAACACAAACATTGCCTGTCTGATGTTTATGTTGGATTGAATTATATTAGTTCTCAATTGTAGGTACTTACCACCCCTGTTGAAGATAAGCTTTTCTTTGTTTTAAAGTTTATTATATATTTGTTTTGACTATAGGGCATGTGTGCTTGAGGTGGGGGAATGAATGAGAAATCAACCCCTCTGGGGGATGGCCATATTGTAATCCCTTCTTTTCTACTCTCCTCTCAGGATTTTGGCCGCAATGCTGAGTGTTATTTTCAGGGTACAGGGTCCAAGACTCTAACTGTACAGCCAGCCGTGTAGGATCCAATGCCTTAACCTTCACACCACCTGCTGGCCCAAGTTTATTATATTTTTATTTCTAGATTTTAAAGTACTGCCATGGGAGGTGGTCTTGCTGCAGTGACCTCTCCTCCATTTGTCCCTTCTTACAGGATTTTGGGCAGGCATGCACATGCACTTAGTGTCGTTTTTCAAGCGTTCAGGTTCAGGACTTGAGCACACCACTGGCTGGCCTGACCCTGCGAATTTCACAAAGCTTGTGATGCTCTTCCCTTCTACAGAGCCATTACACTATGAAAATGACAGTGCCCCTGAGAGCCATATCGGCTATATGCTTGATCTTGAGAATTAAACCAATTAATTGGGGCTTTTAAGATTTTTTTATCTTGATATTTACACATAAAATTACATAAATATCTCAGTGCATCCTTTTTACTAATATTATATTAAATTTCTATAAAATGACTTAACATTTTACAAAACTTTTTACATACACATTATTTCATTGATACTTATAATTAACGAAATTATCCTTGTTTTAAAGACGAGGAAACTAAGAATCAGAGGTTAAATGACCTGTTCAAGGTCCTGTGAGTGGGCAGTGTTAGCAGTGAGATAGGAGGTGGGTTCTGTGCCACTCGGGCAGTCCTTTCTCTGCTCCGCTCTCCCCTCCCCTCCCCTCCCCTCCCCTCACAGAGAGAGAGAGAAAGGGAAAGGGACAAAGCAAGCCACCAGGTCCAGCACTCGAGCCGTATTTGGCCATGTGGGAGTCCAGCGCCTTAACCACCAGGCCACCTGTGGGCCCCCAGGGTCTGTACTTTCTGAAAGAGCATGTCATTGTGAATACTTTGTTTTAAATGTTAAAAAGATAAAAAGGTGACAGTCCCATGAAGCCCACTAGCCTAGCTCCCCTCTTCTGTTCTTCTCAGATCTTTACTTCCCCCTG